TGTTAATAGGAATCCAACATTTTACTGTTCTCTAACATAACATTAGGGAGGTTATCCTTTCTTATTGTTATATTCCATAGTAAATTTTTCTTTCAGACAGAATTTGTTGAAGAACATGATAGACTTTTCGCAGAGGCTAAGAAGAGCGGAGATCACTTGGCTGTTACCGCGCACTACTACTCAGTGATGTCTACGGTAATAGACGAGTACTTTGGAGGTAAAAATTTTAATATTCTAGTTTTTTCGACTTTCGTACTTCTAAAATCAGACAACTCTTTACTTCGATTGATGATTGCCATTTGCCTTTTTTTGTTCGGAATCTGTGGAATCTTGGAATTTGTCTTGTTTTCAATCCAAATAATGTATTTTTTATAAAATAGTCTAATACTACTTTTAAAACCCGTGTAGCTTATGAAACGACGAATTTAAACACCTGGAATGTGTAAGTTTCTTTGAGACTAAAATGCCGGTTAAGATTTGGGAATAGCTATGGCCGCTTCAAGGTTCCAAACATATTTTCCATACCAGTTTTTCTTACAAAGCTTTGCACAAATTTACAATTGTAGGGTGCGTATACGCCAACTATCTACAATATGTGCAGTTTTTAAATTTTTTAAACATTGCCTACCTGTGTAGGGTTAATATAAATTTGTTCATGAAATTTGTGTATCTCTTTCGTTCATGCTTTCCTTATCGTTATGGAAAAATTTAGTCAAGTTTGGCCTATCCAGCCCAAATTTGGCTCTATTCATCAATTCCTTAAAAATATTGTACATGTACAAGATCAAAAAAATAGAGCAAGAATTTTTTCTGCAGCTACCCAAAATCACTTCTTTCTTATGACCTTTCAATCCTTATCAACTCTCTCTAACCTTTCAACAAACACAATTTGTTGAAAACGTTTCCAAATTGTAATAGCTCTCGTCTCTGCACCTGTCATGAATGAGCCTTTTACTTTCCAGCGACACCTTTATATAGGTTATCAGAACAATTTGCGCCACTTGCTTACGTACCGCTATTTCCTCGAGGTTTTCTGGAACTTTCTATCTGAAAAATATACAAAGGCGGTCAACAGTCTACTCATACCAAATGTGTTTCAGTATTGGTTACACTAATTTCTGAAAGGTCATTTTTGACTCCAAGATTGTCAATGCTCCTGCGTAACAAATGTAGGGACGACGGTA